TCTAAATGGGACGTTAAAAACAGTTCTATAAGAATGCTCTCTAAATATCTGAGTCTGCCAATAACCTAATTTTAAATCAAATTTAGAAAAGATATTAGCATCATATAATCTTGATAGTAAATCTCTTTTATTTAGAATACGATATCTAATCCATTTTAAATATTTATTCAAAGGTTTATAATTTATTACTAACTTGGGAACACCTCGTTCCCTTTCAGCTGCATTGTTAACATCAAATGTAGTACAAGACCAAGGCGATTTCGAAGGTTTTATTAAACCCTTTTGTTACAAACTATCAATTTCCCCTTTGCAGAATTCTACTAATTCGGCGTTCATCTGGCAGGGCGAGACTTGGTAGGAATATTATCCTCAGAGAAATTTTCTTCATATGAAAGAGTAAAAATATGCTTTTTTCGATTTCAAAACGCACTAGGATGATCAACACAAATATTAATGGCCATTTGTTCAGAAATTAATTTAATTTTTTCCTGTACTTTAGTACTTTTCAAAGTATCAAATATGTTCATACTAAACAATTCAAGTTGTAAAAAATCAACATGCTTTTGTTTCATATCAATTAAAGCATTAATATCACGAGAAATTGGTTCAGTGATAAAAGTATAGCTTATATTCTAATTATTATACGTGGCCGAAAAATCTTTAGCATTTATGCTAGTAAATGGGTAAATAGCATTTATAAAAGGTGTTCTAAGTATAATCGGAGGGTATAACTGATTTTTAACCAAGAAAAAGAAATGCAGAATGCAAACTTTATTTTGGCAAATACAAGTATTAGGGAAATTATACTTTATATCTAAAGCATGTCCTGATGCAGATTTAACCATATGAGTTGTCTTTTCAAAATATTTGGGAGGTACAAGACCTTCCTGAATGTAACTCACATCAGCTCCACTATCAATCATGGCAACATTAGTTATAGATAAATTATTATCAATCAATATAGTACATTTAACATACCATTTATGAGCAGTTACAATTTGCATCATTCCTAGGAACATACCTTGTCTAGGAACAAGATTAATAGGTTTTGCAAGAGTATTTTCTTCAGCAATATTTTTTCATTTGCTATTAGCAGTTTTTATCTGAGTAATACGGTGATCACAAATCATTTGATTTTGCTTGAGAGATTTAATCTCATTTTTCGAATTTTCAATTTCTCCTTTTAAATCATCAAAAGAGAAATTTCTTGTAGAAATAGTTTGTTTATTAAGTCGGTTATGAACTTCAGATAAAGAATATGGAGCAGAATATTCATATTCAAAATCAGTTCTTTTTTCTGAGTTTTTTTGAAGAACTAGCTTATTATTAACTCTTAACTGAATATTTTTTTCACAAAGATTATTATCAGTAACTTCTTTTAAAAGTTCTATCACATTATTAGAAGTAATAGTGTTAAGATTTAAATCTTCAAATTGAGATTGCAATTTATAAAATTCATCATTTTCAGAGAAACAAATATCACCTTGATCAAATTTGCAAGTATCACAAGCATTATTATTAACATGCTGATTATTATCATATAATTCAGGCAAATCAATATTTTCTTAAGAACTTGATCTGGACTTAGACTCATAATCGGACTCCGAACCTGAAGTGTAAAGGAAACTATAAACCTTATCATGAATTTCTTCATCAAGTCCGAAAGATTTTAGCTTTTCAAGCTTACAATTAGGTGCAATATGTCCAAAATTGCCACACCTATAACATTTAATCTTGACGAGTTCTTTCTTAGACCTATTTTTGATAAATCTATTAGACTTACGATAAGCTTTTTGCTCGTTCTGCTCTTCTTTGGATCTACGTCTATGCCTAGACCTTCGTTTGTTATAATATTCATCGGGATTAGAACCTCTAGAATCTCTATGTTTGGTTGTCTTCTTGCTATTAGCTGAAGTATCAGGTAAATCAAACTGAGTACAAAAATATCCTAGCTGGGATCTTTCCTTGAGCTTAACTATCTTAAGCTGTCTAGATAATTTTAATTAGTTGCACAAGTTTATCCCTTCTTGAGTGCAAACTCCTATCAACCGACCATAGGTATAATTATCATAAGGAATATCTCCATGCTCATTTCTAAGGATTTTTTTTAACCCTTAGTGCAAATAATGAGGGAAGACCATCTGTGAACTTAGCTTTCCAATGCCCATACTTATTTTCTGGTAGTTCTATCACCTTACTCATATAATTATCTTTATACCACCTAAATTCTCTCAAGTTTCTACATTGTAGACCGTTTAACAGGGTACGAACTGATTGGTAAATCTATCATTAAAATGTTCTAAAATGGTTAGAACTAAGGTATAGACCGCGTCTTCTTTATTAGCGACAAGAGTCATACCTAGGTTATCAACACCTTCACTACTAGAGGTAACATTAATCACCGCAACCTTTTGTTCGAAGGCCATATAATTATTCCACCAACCTCGAAGTTGGCTAGTAAAACCTACAATAATCATTTTGCAAATATTTCTATCTGTGTTTTTAACATTTTTACAGATAGTTGCATGCATAAACATTCTACGCACAAGAATAGTAAGCTGTCTATCAATTAAGCCATCAAGATTCCATTCATAAATTTCAGAACCGTTATAAGAGGTATTAGTCTGATTCCAGTCTCGTTCCTCTTCAAGCACATCTTGAAGAGTTGGCCTGGGATAGTAATAAGTTTGCATGCTCGGTTTATAAGCAAACTTAGGATTACCGCTATTCTTTTTGGGATAACCCTTCAGTTTATTAAACTCTAAGTCAACATGATTTTTAAAATCAAAAGTATTTTCCAATTCATCATCAAAACTTTCAGACAGATCCATAGGACTTGCGTTAAATTCAGAAATTTTTTTATCAAGAAGTTCTTACAAGTCATAAGTTGTTTTAAACTTAAATTCCGAAATCTCAGGAGAGAGAACCAGTATGTTCACCAAAAATTTTAAAATAAAGTCCTAAATAATTATTTTGAGAAATCAAATTATTAATTTCGTTGATGCTGACTGCCGCAACATCTTCTTCAATAAATTTTTGAAATGCAGTAAAAGTAATACCCGTATTATTAGGTAAAACAAAGGATGACTGATGTGGATAAACATCCTTAATAATATTACCATTTCCATCTTTATAAGATCGTTCAAGAACGTTGATAAACAAAGGTAAATAAGTGGTTATAAACTATGGCACAAAATACATAATTTGATTATGCAAAACACAAATTTCATAAAATTCTTGAGAAATATTATTCAAATCATAGGCACTATAAGTGTCAAAACACCAAGTTTTAAACTGATTTCATTTATCACTTAAAAATTCATTCTGAATGTATTTTCTTGCCAGGGAACCTGGGATAGAATCTATTTAATGTGCATTCATCATTAAGTATTATTAATATCAAAATCTATTTCGGACTGTGAAGGAATATCCTTATCAGAAATATCAGAAGCAACATCATTTGCTTGAACAATATTAAGATGAGGATTAATTTTAATTTTATTAACAAATCTATCATTTTGATCCACATATATAACAGAAGATAAAGTATGTAACGAAGCAGCACGATTTCGAGCTGGACCATTTATAGGACCAATAGGGGAAATATAATGCATAGCAGACAATCTTCTAGCAGAAGAAAATGAATGTCTATTAAACGGAATATCATTAAACTGCATACAGGTCCTACCATCAGAATTTTGAGTAATATGAGAATATTCAGAATTAGTGACTGCATCCGCCATCTGATTTATAGGAATTACTGATTCCCAAGTCTAAGTAGTCATAAAATTAATTTATTCTCATTTTATAGGTCGTCTAATAGTGGCCTTAGATCTAGCAAAATTAGTTTCTACTAAAATTATTTCGGCAGATGTATCATATAACTTACATTTGGGATTTAACGTAGAAAACAATTTGAAATAGATTCTATAAGACAGACAAATTAATTCAGAACCAGGTGCATAATTATAACCATGCGTTTTAACATTCAAAGTAGGCATCAAGAATATTAGCATCAGTTAAAGATAACTGTAAATTTGACTAAGTATTAAAATAAATTGGACCATATGCCATAGTAGATTCAATCGAACCCATTAAAGATTGTCTAAAATTCAAATTTCTAGCATCACGTAAAACAACTAAAAATGTCTTTGGTAACCCTTCAAGAGTTAAAGGCTTAAAAGGAATTTGTATCATGTCAATATGCAAGAAATTATAATATAATTTATACAAGTCAATATCTCATTTATTTAACAAACGAATAGTCTGTTCTGACGAATTTAACGCCAAAGATTGTTCAGTAGTTTTAATCAATTGTTTACTAGAGATTTTATCAAACCAACTATAATCATAAATGGTTTTTATATTAATTTTTGAAATTGTCCATTTATTTAACAAATCAAGGTTTTGAGGTATATCTACCTCTTTCAATCTAGTACCTTTGGTACTACTATCTCCAAGATCCACGAAGACAAAAGATCATATCTATGTCGTATACTTCACATCAATTTCACATGTACCATGAATGTTTCTTAGTCCGCGATGTCATCTTCAATCTAGCTTGTTAACATCCGAATTCAAGGAAGTTCATCTACAGTTAATATACTGTGTTTCTACTGTTGTTAGTGCTTATCACTATTCTTGATAATCTTTATACTTTATCTTTAGTCTTCAGTTGTCGGAGGAAATCTTCCGTCTCTATCAGCACATCTTTCGCCACTGGATTTTCTTACTCAAATGGTTGAGCTTCCTGAATATCATCCCGAATATCATCACTTGTTTCACTCCTAATAGAAGTGTCAAATTTTGTATTATTCGTGATATTAAGGAGTAGACTTTTATTAACGTCTTCTAAATACTTATTAATCATTAATTTAATATGTTAAAATTTAAATTTAAATATTTGAATATCATGAAAAGGTATAATAAATTATATTTTTTTCTCATTTTAATATGATAAAAAAATACATTATATAATATCTATCAAAATTTATGTCTCACCTAGATTAAGAAAATCAAAGAGAAAGAAACCTTGTTGAATTTAACAATTTCACAGCAGTTTTTGGTTAGTCTATCGCCTTCAATGAACTATCAAATTCTTCAATCTCTGCAACATGTTGAAGATGAATGGGGTTTAGATATGCCGGAGAGTTTAGAGGATGTAATCAAGTTCCTTAAAAGAGAGTTTACCTTCCTTGATTTTTTTCTCAACTTACAGAGTTTCATAGATTTATCGTACATGCTTGAAATCGTACACAACGTTCAAGCTCTGTTTCATGATGCTGCCATCGACTTTGGAAGGAGCAGTGAGATCGATCAAGTTGTTCGTGTTGCCAATAAATTAAAAGTCAAAATGCAGATGACTAAGTTGGAAATCAGATCTGAATACTTACTTCCAAAAGTCAACAAGGATGGTAACTTTGTTGGTAGCCCAGAATTTGTAATCGATCTCATTGATACGGTTGTAATGAATCTGGGTGATTTATTGAAGGTTTATTGTTCTAGTTCACTACTTTTTGTTCGTGGACCTAACAAAGAGATCCGCAATGTTTTCAAGGAGTTGAAGTTATTGAGAAATTTTGTATGCTTTGTTACGGAGAGATCCATAGAGCTAGAAGGCCAACATATTGATTTCTTCATTCATGTTTTAGAGGTGGTCAGCCATGCTGCAATGATTGCCTGGTTGTATCTCCCAAGCAATGGCAACGAAAATCAGGAAACGAATGGTTTGCTTTCTGATCATCTGCAGATGAAGATGAAGCCCATTGACCCAAGCATCCGCAAGATCTATATTGATGTGCTGCAAGATCTACGATTTGAATGGCGTCCGATTATTCCAATTAATCATGCAGCTGATTGTGTAGCTGGCTTTGTGCAGGCTCTCCAACACAACTTGAAGGCACTATCGGTTAGTAATCCCAATACTCATCAAATAGCAGACCTTCAGGAGATGCTCAACCTCCTAATTGCCAAGTTGTCCATACAAGATCTAGAATTTCACCTTAAAGATATCGACACTCTGATGATTGATTGCGGAATACTCGTTTACTCGTTGTGTGAAAATGTGGTGTTAGGGAGAGCGACTATTAATTTACCAGTTATCATTGAGCAAATCAAGATATCGATCTACCACATCATCCAGAAGGAATTCCAATCTAATTTGCCAAGGATTCATGGACTAGGCTATGTTGATTTCGTCTTAAGGAATTTGACGGAGTTCCAACACCGTTATCCAGATTCACTTGCTTTTATGAAGATTCAACTTCAAAAAATTCAAAAAGAACTGAAGAGCGGGCTACCTTTTCTGAGGTTTGTTGCAGAACAACGATACAATATTCACGACAAACTTCAGAATAGTGTGGCTCTACTGATTGGCAAAGCATATGAGGTAGAATATATCGTTGATGCTTGTGTGAGCAAAAGAGTTCCGGACTGGTGTCTCATGATTTGGGTCTTGGACATTAGCGCAGAGGTTGCAGAGATGCAACAAAAGAAAATGTTTGAGGGTGACTTAGTGTCACCTTACACCATTGCTACTGACACTTCCTTTAAGTTGTCGGAATTGGAAAAAATGCCAGGGATCAAAGAAGAAATTATAGGTTTTGAAGATGAGATCGAAACATTGATAGATCGACTATTAGAAGGATCCGGAAAGCTGGACATCATCTCCATTGTTGGTATGCCTGGAGCAGGAAAGACGACTTTGGCCAACAAACTCTATTCTTGTGATTCAGTTGTCTCTCACTTTCATATTCGTGCATATTGTCATGTGTCTCCGGTATATTCGCAGAGGGGCCTATTACTGTCTCTTTTGGCAATGCTACAGGTTTCTATTGATGGAACCTCTCTTCTTAGTAAAGGGACTGATGAATTAAAAGATACCCTTTTCAGAATTTTACATTTCAAGAGATATCTTATCCTCCTTGATGATGTATGGGATCGCAGGGTGTGGGATGATTTAAGATATTGCTTCCGTTATAGCAATACTAGAAGTAGAATTCTTCTTACAACGAGAAATCATCATGTTGCCGACTATGTTGATACAGTTGGTGAACCTCATCATGTTCGCTTGTTGACCTATGAAGAAAGTTGGGAGCTACTAAAAATAAAAGTGTTTGGCAATGAAAATTGCTCTCCTCTCCTAGAAAAAGTTGGGCAAGAAATAGCAAGAAAGTGTGGAGGTCTGCCTCTGTCAATTGTTTTGGTGGCTGGTATTCTGTCAAAGATGGAGAAGACCGAAGAATGTTGGAGTCAAGTGGCTAAGGATTTAGGTTCCTACATTGCCAGTGACGCAAAGTCTATTATTGAACCAAGTTATCAGCATTTGCCCTATCATCTAAAGTCTTGCTTTCTATATTTTGGAACATTTTTAGAGGATGAGGAAATCAATGTTTCAAAGTTAACATGGTTATGGATTGGAGAAGGCTTTGTTAATGATCTTGAAGATGAGAGTTTGCAGGACATAGCGGAAGGTTACTTGGATAATCTTATAGAAAGAAATCTAGTGATGAATGCTAAGAGGAGTTCTGATGGTAAGGTCAAAGCATGCCGTGTTCACAATGTAGTGCTTGATTTCTGCAAGAAAAAAGCAGAGGAAGAGCACTTTCTATCATGGTAAGAAATTAATTAATTGTGCTTTATTTGTTCAATCAATCAAGTATTCAGGTTGTATTTGAAAATGAATTTATGAAATATTATACTAATTGAAACATACACAACAACAGGGACCAAAACGACAAATCTTTGTCAGCTACATCCTCTCAGAAGAAGCTCGCTCAACGTCGTGTAGTCTTCATTGAAGAGGAGAATCTTGTAGAATGGAGTTCGTCTCGCCGTCTTGTTGACTCTGTACTTTTCAGAAGAATAGATGTTTCTAGTCGCCTAGTCTCACAAATTTTTTACAACTTCAAGTTTCTCAAAGTGTTGAATTTGGAGTCCACTGTTATCAATTCTTTCCCAACGGTGCTAGTTTACCTGAGGTATTTTTCTGCACAAACTGATAAGGATTCAATTACATCGCTCATAGCCAATCTTTGGAACCTTGAAACATTGATACTCAAGCCAACAAAAGGAAAGTTGAAACTACCCGTTACAATTTGGAAGATGGTTAGATTGAGACATTTGTGCATGGATAGCGCTTATTTCAATTTAAATGGTGCAGTAGGATTACTTGAGAAGTTGGAAGTTCTTTCCACTCCGTGTTTTTCATGTGCAAGGGATGTGGAACTGCTATCGGAAAAAACACCATATCTTCGGGAACTGAGATACTCATTAGTGGATTTTAGACGTGAATTATTCCCTAGATTGGATTTCCTAAGAGGACTTGAGACGCTTGAGATTCATTTAGCGGCAAATTCAATGGTAGATGGTCCATACAACTTCCCACCAAGACTTAGAAATTTGACACTATCCAATTTTTTCCTAGGCAGTTGTCTTGAATCCAGCATTTCAATGCTTCGCTATCTTCGCGTACTGAAACTGGTATCAATTTTCTTTGACAATGACGAGTGGGAAGTGAGAGATGGCGAGTTCTTTAGACTCAGGGTCTTGAAGCTAGTAAAATGTGAATTTTTTGATGAATGGAAAGCTTCAGATTATGCCTTTCCTATGCTTGAGCATTTAGTTTTGCGTGAATGCCCATATCTTAAGGAGATCCCTTTTTGTTTGGGAAACGAGTTGCTATCCATCAAGGTGAAGTCGTGCAGCGAATCTGTTGAGCGGTCAGCCACAGCTATCAAACAGCACCAGCAGAGGAAGAAGAACAGAGAAGGGTTATCAGGTACGCTACTGAGAAAATGCAATTACATGTCACTCTCATTTACTCACCTTTAATTGTATTTTTGTTTATTAAAAAAAAAGTAATTTCCTTAAAATTCCTAAAATTTCTTTTGTTTGGAGCTGTATAATTCCTATTTTGGGTCAAATATCTTGAAATAGTAGTAGATAAAAAAAACTACGCATAGATTTTGGGAATAAGAGACAAGTATCACTCTGAACTATCTCCAAAAATCTAGTGATACACCTAATTTTAATTAACTTCTTATTACACCTAAACTCATTTATTCTGTATTTTTGTGCTTCGTGGAGTCAAAAATCCAATTCAATTAGTTATGTTGATTCATTGTTTTTTTTTCTTCTATTGATTTTGTTTATGAAAAATCACATAATTATTTTTTTAAGATCCTAATTTACAATACATAAATCTACTATTAATTAATGAGAAAATTACACGACTAAGTAAATATATATTACTTAATTATTTAACATAGTTATATAGTCTGAATAATTTACTACTCGTCACCAACTATTAATCGTATTTGCATGGGCCACGTTCATTTTTGTATAATTCTATTTCCACATTATACACGAGAATCACTCCAGGTATACTAACGCATCATAAAAATTAGACGATTGTTCATCTTTTTCTTTGGGTCTAATTCAAGATTTTCAAAAAATTGCAGGATCTCTTGCTAAGTCTCAAGTTAATCAACAAATAATTAGATCAACGCCCAAGAGGGGCGGATACCTGATTCCATAAATAAAGGGTAAAGCATAAGGTAAAAAAAATTGTATCTACAAGCAATATATCAAAATCATCCGAAGAAGAACATATCTAATCTGATTCATTGGACCAACAAGATGGAGAAGAAATTAAGGTAAATTGTATAAATTAATTCGTATATTTTGTTGAAGTTGTTCTTGTTATTTTTGTATAGCAGTACAATTGTTTTTTATTTACACCCAGGTTTTTCAGATTTTTAGTTGTAAATAGCTTCTTGTGTATTTATCAATTAATTTTCTTGTTTAGATGTTTTACGATTTGTTGAGATATTTCGTTTGTATAAATTATGAAAAAAAAATTATTTGTATAATTTTTGAAATTGTATATAGTTACTATGTTCGTATATTTGACCAGTCACTATTTTTTGTATATTATCAACAAGTATATGTTCCAACTATTATTTGTATAATTTCAGCATTATTGAGGTGTTTGTTTAATTTATTTTGTTATATTTTTTGTGAAATGTATTTCTATCAATACATTTCATATTATGTTGTATACAATTCTATGGATTTAGTGTATTAATGTTTATTGCGGTTTTTTTTAGACCTTATTTGTATATTTTCAACAATTATATACAATTTATTTTTTTTGTATTTGTATATTATCAACAAGTATACGCTTCAACTATATATATATATTCATTTTTTGACATGGTTATTTAGGAAGTTAAATTTATCTTTCTTTATTGGGATAAGACATAAGTATTTTCTAGATTATTATCGAAATTTCAGAAACACACCTAAACTTAATTAGGGTCCTATTACCCTCTCAAACTCATTTTTTCGTATTTTTGTGCACTTTTTGTGCCGACGTAACACCTTCAACAACTTGAGTTGGCTCTGTGTGTAAATAATATATTTTTTTAAAAAAATATTCTTATTTTTTTTGTCTTGTATTTAATTTAGGGAAAAGGACAAATATACCTTCGGATTATTAGAAATGGTATGCGTATATCCTTTGTTATACTTTTGGTACATTAGTGTACTTATCGTCCAAATTTTAGAGTCTATATACCCTTTATAATAACGGTGGTACACGTGTCTTAATCCTATTCATTGACCCAAAATTTATTGAATTTCTACCAAAAATTAAAAGACCCATCCGGATTAATTAAAAAAAAAAAAAACTCACCCAAATACAATAATATCCACATCCAAAAAATATAACTCAAAACCCTAGTTTCTTCTCCATCTTCTCCGAAGATAAACTTACAATTAAGAAATACTAAAAGCACCGTCCAATCGGTTCCACAAAATCTAAATAACTCAATTTCCAGCACAAATCGCTCCACCAACCCAACTTCTTCTGTACTCAAACTTTGCTTCTCTCTTTATAAAACTGCTCTGACAAACTTTTTTTTTTGTCAATCTGATCAGTTTGCTTTAGACAAGTAAATTACTTCATCCATATTTCCTGAGAACTGTATATTGTTTTGAAATAAAAAATTTAGGTTCTCACTTGACAATTGAGCTTCTCTTTTCCTCAAAACTCTAAATCAAGTTTACTAGTCATGATGGAGGCGCAAATGAGCTTTGATTTTAGGATGCTATCATGATTTTTCATCTATATGAGATTATAATTCCATAAAGACATAAGTTGTATGTAAATAGGCTCCTACTTAACATATCCAAGATAGAACTTATGTTTAAGAGTTTTAAATAAAATACTAGGTACAAAATACATCAAGTTAAACTGATTCTTTATTGGATCGCAAACATCATAGAAGAAGGAGAAGAAACTAGGTTTGGGGAGTGAATTGATTTGGGGATTTTGAGTTCTATTTTTGGGGTGGGTATTATGTATTTGGGTGGGCTTTTAAAATTAAGTTGGGTGGGGCTTTAAAGTTTAAACAAAAATTAATAAATATTGGATAGGATTAAGACATGTGTATTGTTGTTAGTATAAAAGGCATATACGCTTTAAAATTTGGACGATAAGGACACTGATGTACTAAAAGTATAACGAAGGGTATATACATACCATTTACGATAGTTCGGGGATATATTTATCTTTTTTCCCTTTAAATTATGAAAAAAACGTCAAAAATATCCTTGGACTACCTGAAAAGGTTTAAATGTACCCTTCATTCACTTATTTGGTTAAGGTCAAGCCCATCAGTAGCCTTCTAAAGTTGGCACAAAATTTCATTTAGACACCTCAACTAACTAATATTCATTTTAAACACCTCATGTAGGATTTCATTGTGGCATTTTGATACTTTTCAGTGACATGACTTGGTAAGTGTAATGCACTCAAAATCAGTGCGTGAAGGGGCTCTTTGTCAGGCCAAAAAAATAATACTCCGTCTGTTTAAAAAAGAATGGTCTAGTTTAACTTGTCACAGAGTTTAAGAAAATAAAGAAGACTTTGAATCTTGTGGTCCTAAATTAAAGTTATGTCAAATGTACAAATTGACTTTAATCTTGTGATCTTAAACATGCCACGTGGAAAGTTGAAATTAAAATGTTACTAAAAAAAAGAAAGGGGTCATTTTTTTAAAACTGACTAAAAAAAAAAAAAAGGTCATTCTTTTTTAAACGAAGAAAGTATTTAAAATGTAAAAACTATTCTTCTTCCTCATTCTTTCCTCCACCACACACCATCCATTCACCACCGCTGCCACCACAACTATTGATACAATCGAATTAATTTTTTAATTTTTTCAGATCCGAAAATCACTAGAACCATCGTCAGCTTCTCATTCTTATTCTTTAGATCCAACAATTACAACTTTTATTGCAATCTCTCAAGTTCAGTGCTTTACACAATTGTACATCTATCACACCCATCAAGTTCATATATGCAGATATTCATTTTAAACGGGAGGGACACAAATAATACATAGCATTCGTATCTGTGCTTTTATAGTTTATTCCTTTTGGAGGCATTGTAATAGTAGATACACAATTAAAAAGCATGAAATTGATAACATACAAATTAAATCTACAACAAAAAAAATGAAAATCTGAATTTAATAAAAACCTCAAAAAGAAAAAAAGCAAAAGAAGAAATTGGAGGTAAAGAAGAGGCGCTGGAAAAGTTTGGAAGAATGAGGAAGAAGGGGTGGGATAGTTTGGTGGGGTTTTAGAAAATAAATGTTTTTATTTATTTTTTTTGGCTGAAATTAATTTTTCCTTATAATTTATTTTTAAAGTATTATTTTATACTTAAATATCACGTGTCTTTCCTTAATTAGTCATTATATTCATTATTCGCGAGTGTGTTACACACACAGTGTAATTTTAGCTGATTGTCAAAAAAGTGTCAAAATAACACAACGAAATTCTACATGAGGTGTTTAAAATTAATATCGTCCAATTAAAATAACTAAGTAAAACTCCATGCCACCTTTAGAAGGTCACCAAAGAATTTGACCTTTGATTAAAAATACCCTTCAATCCATTTTTTATGGTCTACTATTACCTTTAAAACTAACATATTTTTTTTAAAAAAATTAATACTATTATTTAATAGTGGCGTTAAATCCCTCAACCCTTCATATTTTTTCCGGCCAGCCCGATCCATATCCCATCCCCATGACCCAAATCCAATTAAACCTAATAATGAATGTAGTCCCTTTCTCTCCCTTAAACACATGGAAAGTACTACTGCTGTGGTTATGGGAGAAACTATTGAGTATACAGATGAAGTAGTCGTAGTAGTGTCGGTTTGGCTGTGAAACAGACCGCATAAACATGGACCCATCATACTCCCACTACAACAATGCATCCATTTTTCCTATTAGCTCAGACAAAATTCAATGACCGGCGATGCTCATTCTCATGAGCCCCAACATAAACCGCCAATGAACCAGAAGTCGTACGGTGACAGTTGCAGCAGGGCTCAAATCGGTTTACGCCTGTTCATTGGAATTGGAGGAAGAACAAGAAAGAATGGAACAAGGACGAAGGCAGTTGTCATTCCCTCGCTTGACGACTTGATTGAGGCGGATGATTTTAGTAATCATGTGAACCTTTTTTTATAGAGCAAGAAGAAGCCATTGTTGATGCTCTAATCCAAGCTTTTTATTGGGATGTGTGCACAAGTTGGCGAGAGAAAGAGAAGAGAGGGGTTTGTTGTTATTTGGTATTATGGGTCGGATTTGAGCAAGGGTTAAAAATAAATAATTGGGTAATTTGATTTGAAATCTGATTAATTTTGAAATTTTCGTCTAAGTAGGGGGTACGGATGATAAGTTTCTTAATAGTAAAGGTGTGAATAACTTCATTTTAATTATAAAGGTAAAATCAACTAATAAAGTAGTATTTTTGACCCTTTTACCTTTTTTTTTTTTTTTTTTGCCTTGTATCTTATCTTCTTCTTTTTTACCTTTCTTCATTATTTTTTCTCCTTTACTTTTGTATTGATTTTATTTACTCTTTTTTATTTTCTTTTTTCTTTTTGGTTTGATTTCAAATTTAATTTCAAATGTATTGTATTTAAAATAAGTTAATCTCGAACGAATATCAAAATAAGTGAAGAAAATTAAATATATTGTATTTTTAATGTTTTAATTTTTTATGTATTATTTTATTTTGTTTATTTATGAAAGAAAATTTTCAACTCAACTTTGTGTTAATTCTTATGGTTTTAATTCATCTCCAAATCTTTTTTCACTTTAAAGAATTGACCTTAACACCTATGCATAATGAAGAAACACCCGGTACAACCTATACACATAAAAAACGGTTGAGATCTTAGCTTAGAAATTTCCAAAATGGTTACATAAATATCTCCTATGATACATTTTCTAACCTCGAACACTGGATTCTGTGTTGTTGCCCATTACGAGATCCTTCTTTTTTCACGAAAATTCTTGTAATTGCTCAAATAGAAAATTTAAAGCTTGATTGTAATTATGAAAGAACCTTAAAATGGTTATATAAGGTGGAATATTAATGATTTTTGACTGTCTAAATATTAGGACTTTATAATTCAAAGAAGAAATATTTACGTAAATATTTTAGTTGATTTAAAACTCTTAAAATTAGAAAAATAATTATAAAAATTAAATAATGCTTATGTTTGATCTAACTTAGAAGCATAGCCAATTACATAACATTATCCTTGAGTTGGTTAATGTTTATGTTTAGGATTAATATTATAAATTCAATACAATATTCAGCAGAAAGTTTCCTTTTCACGCACACATATAAGGATGTTCAAACCCAAAGAAATTAGAGGACTTTGAAGAGGAAAAAGTCATATGCCAAATCAAGCCCTCTAACATGCCCAAAATCAAGGAGAAAAGGGAAGCTTACCCAAATTCCAAAGGGCAAATAACATAAATCCCACTAGTTTAGGTCCTAATTACTAAGATTTTCGATAATTTCAAATTTTACTTTCTCTATCATATTTCATGCTTAGGATACATGAGTTTGAATCCGCGAGATACATGTATTTGCCAAATGGACAATTAATTATGATATAGATTTTAAGACAAGGGGATTTACTGTCACATTCAAAATGCCAAAGTCAAATTAACAGTGGGAAAAGTTAAATGTCTTTTGGCATTTGGTACCTAAAAACTGAAGACTCAGTCGTTGAATAGTGCATCCACATCTTGAGTATACTTGTGAGTTGTGAGAAAGAAGGCAGAGTGATGTCTCCAGACAACGATCATCTCCTTGAAGCTTTGCAGCAGTTTATAGTTCAATGGGATTCAGACATGCCAGAAACTTCAAAGGAGCGAATCAGGTTTCTTAAAAGGGATTTCGAATTCCTGCATATTTTCCTCACCTTCACAGATTTATCAGACATGCCAGATGTCACATACAAAGTTCAAGCTCTGTTTCAAGATGCTGCCGAAGACCTCAAAAAAGTCAACATGATCCATCACATTGATCGTGTTACCTCTCGGATACAAGAAAAGATTCAGATCACTAAGTCGGAAATCAGAGATATCCAGTTAGTATTATCCAATAAAGACGGTAGTACCGATACTCCTGAATTTGTAATTGAATTCATTGATACTGTCATTCAGAATCTGGATGATTTTGTTGAACTGGGAGATTCTGTCTTTAAGGAGTTGGAGTTACTGAGGAATTTCGTTTGCTTTGTTTCGGGCAGATCCATGGAGCCGAAAATCCTACATGCTTTCATGACTCATGTTTTACTTGTGTTTGGTCATGCAGCAATGATTGTCTGGTTGTATTTTCCAAGCAATGACAGCGAAAATCAAGAAATGAATGATCTGTTTTCTGATCTTCTAAATATGAAGATTAAGCCCATTCAGTCAGGCGTTCGTAAGATCTATATTGATGTCCTGCAAGCTGTAACACATCCGATTATCCAAATTGAGAATGCAGCTGGTTGTGTAGCTGGCTTTGTGGAGATTCTTCAAAACAATTTGAATGAACTACCAACTATTTGTAATCCTAGCCGGATGGCTGCTTTGACAGATCAAGTACTAGTCCTTCAGGAGATGTTTGACCTCTTATTTGACAATCTCAGATGTCTGTCTGTACAAGTTCTCGAATTTCACCTTCAAGATATTGATACTGTGGTGGTTGATTCTGGACTTCTTGTTTACTCGTTATATGAAGATGTGTCATTGGAGGAAGTGACTTCTAAATTGGAAGATACCATTGAGCGCATCAAGACATTGATCTACCACATTATCCGAAAGGAGTTCCAATCTACTTTGCCAAGGATTCATGGAATAGGCTATGTTGATTTCCTCTTAAGCAATCTGGAGAAGTTCCATGACCGTTATTCAAATTTGCTTGCTCATTTCACGAATGAACTTCAAATGATTCAAACAGAACTGGAGAGCTTGCAACCTTTTATCAGATCTGTTGCATTAGAGAGACACAACAAATACGACAAGCTTGAGCGTTCTGTGGCCCTAGTGATTGGCAAAGCATATGAGGTTGAATATGTCGTTGATGGTTGTGTAAGCAATAAAGTTCCTGAGTGGTGTATCATGCTTTGGCTCTTGGAACTCATAGAGGAGATTAGAGCAGGGGTAGCAAAGATCCAAAGTCTTGAGGTTGACTCAGAGTCACATGGTACCGTCGATACTTACACTTCTCATACTCGAAGGATTGATGATGATATTGTAGGCTTTGAGGATGAAATTGGAACACTAAGACGCCAACTAACAGGAGGATCAAAAAATCTAGATATTATCTCAGTTGTTGGCATGCCTGGAGCAGGAAAGACAGCCTTGGCCAACAAACTCCTTTTGGATAAATCAGTTGCCGATCACTTTGATATCTGTGCACAATGTTACATGTCTTCAGCACATTCACGGAGGGAACGGTTACTATCTATTCTGGAGACACTACGTGTTTCTATTGATGAGAGCTCTCCTCTTAGTGAAGAGACTAGTGATTTAGCAGCTATGCTTCGCCAAATTTTACAAACCGGAAGATATCTCATTCTCCTTGATGACGTACCAAATGCTAGAGCATGGAATGATTTAGAACATTGCTTCTGTGATACCAATAATGGAAGTAGAATTCTTCTAACAACGCGACACTCTAATGTTGCCTACTATGCTAGATCAATTAGTGAACCTCTACATCTTCGCATACTTAATGATGGTGAAAGTTGGACATTACTGAAAAAGAAAGTATTTGGTGAAGGATTCTGCTCCCCTCTCTTTGAAAAAGTTGGGCCAAAGATATTACGAAAGTGTGGAGGGATGCCTCTTTCAATTGTTTTTGTGGCCTGTATACTCGCTGGGATGGAGAGGACTGAACAATGTTGGAAGCAAGTGGCCAGGAGTTTAGGAACTGAAATTCGCTGTTACCCGGAGAACATTATAGAACAAAGTTATCAGAACTTGCCGTATCATTTAAAGTCATGCTTTCTTTACTTTGGAATGTTTTCAGAAGAGGAAGAAATTAACATTTCAAAGTTAACATTGTTGTGGATTGGAGAAGGATTTGTAAAAAATGATGAACACAGGACTTTGGAAGATATAGCAGAAGGTTACTTGAAGAATCTTGTTGAAAGTAATCTAGTGATGCTTGCTAAGAGAAATTGTGGTGGTAAGGTCAAAGTATGTCGCATTCATGATATCTTGTTTCAGTTCTGCAAGGAAAGAGCGCATACGGAGAATCTTATACAAAGGATACAGAGGTAATAGACCAATTAAATGGTATTTTGTTCAATCAATAAAAGTAAAGAAATGATTTTTGAAAATTAATCTTACTATTGTACAATTTTCCTTAATCTAGGTCCGAAGGAGACGTTTACTTTCCCAATCAACTTGGTCAACGCCGATTGGCCTTCTATGCTGAAGTTGATGATCTAGTAGAATGGAGATCGTCTTGCTCACTTGTTAGCTCTGTGCTGGTCGGGAAAGATAACATATATGCATTCTCTTCGATTACTAATGCCTCAGACATGTTTCATGATTTTCGGTTTCTAAAAGTATTGGATTTGGAGTTCACTGTGATTGATTCTATCCCAACTAACATGGTCTACTTGAGATATTTTGCTGCACAAACTTCTCACAAGTCAATTACATCATCCATACACATGTTGTGGAACCTTGAAACTTTGATTGTCAATGGAATGGGAGAATATATGTCAGTACCCTCAACAATTTGGAACATGGTCAAATTGAGACATCTGCACATTTCCCCCTCCTTTACTGCAGAGGAATTGCTTGAGGACTCATCAAAACTTAATGATTTGGTAACTTTTTCTACTCCATATGTTTCTTGTGTAGAGGATGCGGAATTGATGCTGGGGAAAACGCCAAATATTCGGGAACTGAAATGCAAATTTAAGGGTTTGACAAGTGATCAATTCAGTGTGTTGGATTTTCCCACACAGCTTGAGGTGCTACACATTTTTGGTGATGAACATGTAGAATCCTTACCATATCTTGTATGCATCTCTGCGTCGAATCTCAAAAAATTGAAAGTATCCTATTATATACTGGGCTCTCAACATTTATCAAGCATTTCTCAGCTTCAGAACCTTCAAGAACTCGAACTGAATTTTGTTGAATTTGCGGATGAAGAATGGGAAGTGAGTGACGAGTTTGCTGAACTCAAAGTTTTGAAAATAGTGAACTGCTCCAGTTTTAAAGAATGGACTGTCTACGATGATGCATTTCCTAAGCTTGAACACATGGTTCTGCGTTGTTGCCAATTACTTGTGGAAATTCCTTCTTGGTTCGCAGAAGTTTCTTCTCTAAAGTACATTGAGGTAGATAATTGCAATGGATCTGTTGTCGAGTCAGCCAGGATTATCCAGAGAACAAAAGTTGAAGAGTATGCCAATGATGATTTAGAGCTCGTCATCAAGGAATCATAATTCAGGTACACAATTGATAAAATACTACATTTGGTCTTATTTCTAAACTCTGTTCAATGCATTTTCATATTTATAAAAAGTTACTAACAAATAGAAGGGAAACCTCAGAGTAATTGATAAAGTTGTTGTCATGTGATAAGTAGGTCACAGGTTCAAGTATGGAAACAACCGCATGCTGAAATGGACTATATATTCTTTGGTTAAAGCTGGTTAGTGATTACATCCACAAATTGTTGGTTTTGCAGATGATTTTACTAGAAAGTTGCTATAAGCTGGGGACATTAGGTTCTATCGAGTATTTTGGACACAACAATTAACTTTGGTTAACCAGACGGATCGATCAGTATCCATCAGGTGGCTCCAGGGTTTGGAGCGTGTGCACTGTACAGCTAAGCATTGAGAGAGTTTGGGTATTTGCTGTTCACTCATATAGGGGTGCTTTTATGATTTTGCTGTAAGTTACTACATTTTAACTCTTCAGGTTTATGATTTCACTCATTCCCCTTGTGTTCTTTTATGAACTAACTGTTAAATCCAGCAATTCTAAATAAGCTGGAGATGAAGAACAAACTGATTGAGAGAGAAGAAGAGATTCTGTATAGATTGAATTATCACTATTCTGCTTAACTGCAAAAGATGCTTTACAATGCTTTATATAGAAGTTACTAGCTATCTAATTGAATAACAAACTCTAACTAACCTTCACGTGTTAATTAAAACTAATTGACAGCTAACTAACACTAATCGATAGCTAACTAACACTAATCAACAGCTGTACACTTAACCAGCTGCTCAACATCCTCCCTCAAGCTAGGTGTATGAAAAACATTCTTCATTCCTAGCTTGGTAAGTAGATAGCTATGCTGCAAACATGTGAGTCCTTTAGTAAGCAAGTCTGCAGGTTGTTCTGTTGTATTTAAGTACACTGTTGAACTATTCCCATTTGAACCTTCTCCCTGATGAAATGACAATCAATATCTATATGTTTAGTTCGTTCATGAAACACTGGATTGGCAGCTATCTGTATGGCTGATTTGCTGTCACTGTGTATGTGTACTGGCAACCTCACTTGAACCCCTAGTTCTTTGAAGAGACCAACCAACCACACAACCTCCGCCACTGTCGAAGCTAAGCTCCTATATTCAGCTTCAGCTGAACTCCTTGAAATGGTCTCCTGTTTCTTGGCCTTCCATGAAATTAGTGAGTTCCCATACACAACCATGTATCCGGTTATGGACTTCCTATTGTTTGGGCATGATGCCCAATCTGCATCACAGTATGCAGTAAGATGATTGTCAGCAGTAGATGCCATAAGTATCCCTAAGCCTGGTGACTGTTTAACATATCTGTCACGCCCCGAGCCTACACCCTGGACGTGGCCGGCACTCGAAGACCATTTCTGGTCCCCAAGCGAACCCTCATCCTGGCTGACTCCAAGCAGAATACTAACTTAAGCATACAAGAGCTTAAAACTGAATAAGAGTTTATAAACTCAACTTTATAAATCTTTAACTCAAAAGAAAACTCTGTATAATAGAATATATATACAACTCGCCATAAAAGGCAACTTTAGTCTTCAAAACATTTAACAAAATAAATGAAGAGACTTCTGAAACTCTATTGTCTATCTATGAAGCCTCTAACTGATAAAGATGGAAGCCGGGACAAGACCCACGACCTCCTAACAACTGATACAACTGAAAGGTAAATGAAATCCTCCGGAAGCAAAGAGGCTTGTCATAGCTAACTGGAACTCCCGGATGTATCAACGAATCTCCTGTTGATGATCCTGAATACCTGTGTCTGCATCATAAAAAGATGCAGGCCAAATGGCTCAGTACGTGGAATGTACGAGTATGTAAGCTGGAAATCTAAACAACATAGGCTAGAAGAAACACTGGAATAAACTGAATAACTTACCTCTTTTTCAAACTTTCTCAACTCAAGGAATACTCAAAACTACTCAAACTTACTCAACTCAAAAGATAGATACTGGACTCAAAGACAGATACTCAACTCAAAGATATATACTCAACTCAAGATATATACTTAACTCAAGATATATACTTAACTCAAAGATACTTAACTCAAGGATACTCGACTCTTGAATAACTGAACTCAACCTGACTGACTTCTTTCAATATAAGGTAATTTAAAACAAGTGCGATATAAAGAAAGACTGTTTAAAACATGCTATAAACTCTGAGTGTATACAAGGATACAATAAGCCTGAGATGTATATAGAAATACAATTGAACTGATGTATATAAAATACAATAATTTCTGTGTATGAAAATACAATAACTGCTGTGGGAGTTTCTCTAACCGACAACCATCACATAAGAGCTATAGTGATGATACAGCGAACGACCTCACGCTGCCAGAGCATCTTATACCCGGCCAAAGGTATAAGACCTGAACTGCCTAATGGATCCACTAGTCTAATCTGAAAAGGATTCATCTAAAAAGTATGATCCTTTTCTACCCATGGTGGCTAACATGGTTCTATGGGGGCTGTGGGTTCTTTGAACGCTCCCCCAATTCGGTGCTCAATACTACTCCCAAAAATGTACTGGCTCTTATGTTTTTAAAACATATTTATTCCTGCTGATATGAGATAATTACTCAAAAACTAGCCCGAAGGCTCTTTTGGAAATCTCAGTTTCCAACCTTGTTTAAATGTAAAAACATTTCTTTAAAACTTCTTTGGGAATACATAGTTCCCTAATAACTTTGAGAAAATGAACTCAACTCTTTACTATTTACTTTACTTGAAACTCGATACTTTGACTCAACTTGAAACTCTTTACTCAACTTGAAACTCTTAACTTTTGAATTGACTTGAAACTCAATACTTAACTTGGAACTTGAGCCTTAGAATGAAGTTAAAACGCTCAATGAAGACTCTTGGAAAACCTTAAAGACTTGCTTTGACTTACTTACTTCTAAGCTTGACTTCACTTGACTTGGAAACTAACTTCACTTGACTTTGAAACTAACTTCACTTGACTTGGAAACTAACTTCACTTGATTTGGAAACTAACTTCACTTGACTTTGAAACTAACTTCACTTGACTTTGAAACTAACTTCACTTGACTTGAAATTTGGATTGATCACATGTTACGGATGAGTTCTTGACTTTTAGAAGTACCTTGGAGTGTTGGAAACAACTAGGAAACATAGGTATAATACCTAGGAACATGTATGAAAAAATGGTAAATGAAAGGGAAGGATTGGTGTCCTTGGCACTAGGAGAGGTGCAACAGCCCAGCCCCTTTTTCCCCAAAAATCCGACTTTTTCCCCTTGTTTCTTTCCAATTCTAAACCCTCTCAACCTCAAGGTTTCAGCAACAACACTTAGAATCATAAAGACCCTTATTATACAATAGATTCAACTCAAAAATCACAGCCAGAAATCTGTACTAAATCAGCAAGAACTTCAACACAACACCACTACAACTTCAACAACCAATAAATCTTCTCTTGGAATTAAAAACGAGTTGGTGTGTGGGGGTATGAACCAACCAACACTAAGGATCATAAAATCCCTCAATATACAATAGGTCACAACTCAAATACACAGCCCAATCCTGTCCCACAACCAACAATAACTTCAACAACACAACTAACAACATCAACAACAACTAACAACTTCAACAACTTCAACAACAAATCCAATCTCTTCTCAAATCATAAAAACGAGCTTGGTATGTGGGGGGAAAGAATAAACCCACACTAAAGACTCACATACCTGATTAGGGATCACCCCCGACGAAAATTCACGACGATCCTTAGCTTCTTCTTCTCTTTCTCCTCTTCTTTTCCTCTTCTTTCTCTCTTATCTTCCAAGCCCTAACTCTCACTCTTACTCTCACTCTTTAAAATGGGACAAAAATGATCCAAACATCAGTCTAACACCTCAATATAACCCAAAGAAATTATTAGGGAAAAGACCAAAATACCCTTAAAATTTTCGGACTAAACAAACTGCACTGTGCGACTGTGCGACTGTGCGACTGTGCCGACAGCCCAACTTCCAAAGGGCATAACTCACTCATACGAACTCAGAATCAAGCAAACTCGGCGGCGTTGGAAAGATAATTCCAAGGGCTTTCCAGAAATAACTGGAAATTCGCCTAAATCATTCTGAGCTAGGAGTTACGACTGCTCAAAGTTGACCAAAAACTCACTTTTTTTCCATAGCCAAATTTTCCAGATTCTTTCCAAAATGACTATTTCCAATTCAACTCTTCTTGGAACTCAATGTGCTACATCTAGGGATCTTAACTTAACACTCAAGAAATTTTATTCCTCGGTAAAATCTCACTCCACATAAAGGACGGCTCGAGTCTTAGTTCGAAAATTCTCTAGGGTGTTACAATATCTCACCACCCTTAATGCTGCATTCATATGGGATGTCTTGGGGCTGTGCATAAATTGACTTAGTAGTTGCACTGCGAATGCAATGTCTGGCCTTGTCATTGTCAAATAAAGCAATCTTCCAACCAATCTCTGATAAATTTCAGGCTCATTCAACAACTTATCCTGCTCATCAGTAGGAGGGAAATGTAAATCAAATTCTGCAGTTGTGAGCTTCTGATTCAACTCAACAGGAGAACCTACAGGCTTTGAACTAGATAACCCCATATCTGAAATCAGTTCAAGGCAATACTTTCTTTGATGCATAAGGATCCCATTGCTGTTTCTAGCAAATTCAATTCCTAAGAAGTATCTCAACTCACCTAGATCTTTAATCTTAAAGTTGTCTTGAAGAGTCTTCTTTGTTTCCAAGATCAACTTGTGGTCATTGCCTGTGATCAATAGGTCATCAACATAAACAAGTACCATCACTAACCTTTTTTCTTGATGTTTTGTGAACAAAGAATAATCATAATGACTCTGCTGAAACCCTGAGTTGGCTAATGCTGTGGTCAGTTTGATATTCCACTGTCTGCTTGCCTGTTTAAGTCCATAAAGTGACTTTGTAAGCTTGCATACT